TCACTCTTGTTTGTTTTTATTTGCATATCGTCACAACCACTCTCCTCATATCTCTCCATAATCACACATTTTTTATCACTCCTATTTGTCACACACACTATTAAAAAACTAATTTTGATTAAGTCCTACAACACCTTCCTCATGTGATTCAAATTTTTCTATACTACAACTTGATTGTGCACTTGCAATATGGACATATTCACTAACACCACATCAATGACCTTCGTCAGTTGCATTAGTAATGTAGGGTTGATCTTACCTTGCAGATAACATGAGACGTGCAGAATTGTGGGCATGGTAGGAATCCTTGCTGATGATCTTGTTGAAGTCTAAGATGGTTAGGACACTCTGGAGGATATTGTGCGCACGCCCAACTATGATCCAACCCCCATCAATGGAAAGCTGCCCCTGTTATTATACCCCCATAACATTCATAGCAATGACATTATTTTCCTCTCTAGACAGGATATGAGGGTCATCAGCTTTTTCTTGAGTAGCACGTAGTGCTGCCTCCTTTGAAGCAGCATCAATACTATCCTAAATCACATAAGGAAAAGCATATATATTTAATTAGCAAATAATAAAATAAATATCAATAGAATACTTATTATATAATGATTTATTGAAAAATTTACCCCCAACAATATGTTTTCCTTAATCCTGACTTCATCTTTATAAGTCAAGCGAAAGGTGCTGTAAGCTAACTTTGCCTTTAAATTGACCAACATAATTGAAAGAGGTGGGCCGTATTGATAAATGTAGCATGCAAATACAAAACTTTAAATAACATACCGTGTCTCGACAATAACCACACTCAAGATTTGCAAACAATGTTGATCCTAAGTGGTGGTCAAGCTTGCGCTTGCTATGTCGATTCGCCGATCCCTTCTTAGATTTATTCTACAAAAGTAGTTTATTACTAAAGATGAAATGAATCTATAATCTTTGTTAGTAAGCAAAATTAAAATAAAAAATACTTGTGCTGATTCGGTGTCCCAATAGAAAAGAAGAGCTGTGAAATGATCAAGGTCCACCGTATCATCGACATTTAAAAACCTCTGCCAATTTGCTGTACATTTATCATATGTTGAGCTTTTCAGCTTGTGTCGCTACTGTTTGAGCACGGACTTAACCTTTATGTATAGATATAAGATATGTATAGGCTTTTTGCACACTTCCCAACCTTGTTATATGCTTATACAAGAAATTACACAGCACTGATATTTGAGGATGGATGAAGTGCAAATTACAAAGTGTCATTAAAACACGTGCTAAGAGGACACCTTAATCATCCTATTTTTTTTCCTTTTTTGTGAACTTAGCCTGTGGACTGGAGTTGACCATGAAAGTCACACAGCCTTAGTTAAGAATTCATGTGTTACGTGTAAGCACACGGAGCAATATTAAGTCACATTATTAAGAATGCAGGTGTTATGTGTAAGCACATAGAGCATTGACAAAAAGGGTAATAAGTATTCTGTGGACATACAGAAACTTTCATGGAGCATGTGTTATGTGTAAGCACATACAGCACTGACATAAGAAAATTAATAATAGACACTAGTAAAAAACACTTAAATGTTAGTCTTTTCCCATTTTGCTCTATCCTCCCTTCAGTAATAAAACATCCCTTAAGTGTCATTAGGGAGAGAAATAAACTTTTTAGAAGACCCATTGTCCGATCATCAAATTATCGTCCCACTAAAGAATAGTTCGAAAGCCTTTTGGTGCTTGTTTTGAATTAGGCTTGCTTGCACCCCGTCCACCCTGACCATTAGGATCACGCTTCACACCTACAATGCTAGCAATATGTTTAGTACAGAAGTTAAGTGTAAATTTTAGATATGATAGAAGGAAATTATTATATTTACCTCTCTCCACTTGTCTATTCTTCTCGGCGATTGCAACATCTTTTCCAACTTGCATCATAGGCTTCAGGTCATCTAGCCTTTTTAATGCAAGTGGATGATTCTTCATGGCATTAGATTTTGATATCATCGAGGCTGGAGGCAATGGTAGATAGCTAATGTTAGGAGATAATTGAGGTAAGAAATTTAAAAAAGATAATTGAGGTAAGAAATTTGAAGTATCATTATAAAAAGATTCTATAAAAATTGAATTATTACTACCCACTACCTGTAGAGGGAGATGGTGCTGACTGTGTATCAGTGGGTCCGAGTGATGCATAATACGTGCATAGAATGTCATCTATGAAAATAAAAATAATTGATACAAACAATATCATAAATAATAAAGTTCTAATTTAAATATAATTGGATTATCAATGCAAATACTGAATTATTAATATCTTTATGAGGCGATTCTGCTAGGGATGTGTCCTGAAGACAACATGATAATAAAATATCATCTACACATATAAAGAAAATAATTAGCACAAACACATCAAGAATGTCTATTTTGAGTTGTCCAAAGATAATGCATAATTCATACCTACATGACGAGGCGATGCTAGGTGTGCCTCCTGAAGACGCCCAGATTTTGGGGTGGTAGACCGTGATCGATCACGCAATCGATCAAAGAACCTCAAATTCTTCATTTGTAAAATTAAATTATGAGAAGCAAAACAAGAAATATGTACGTGCTAACAAGATTAATGTCTTATTGTAATTAAATATTTAAATAAAATTTTGTATGACTAAATCGACGTTTAGCTCATGTACCTTCTACAACTTACTCTTTATGTTTTGCACGAGATCGTGTTTGTATTGTTCTGACTATATTTAACATTGTTTACTTTCGTCTAGTAGTTGTTGACTTTATTTGCACATCTGATCTGGAGTCTCTATCTGTGATCAAAATTAGGATGTTAGACTGAATCTCTGAATCAATCATATTAAGCATGACATTCTGAGGGTAGGAGAAGTTTTACCAAATATCATCACTGAATCTCTGAATCAATCATATTAAGCATGACATTCTGAGGGTAGGAGAAGTTTTACCAAATATCATCAGATGAACCAATTGGTTATCATATTAAGCATGACATTCTGAGGGTAGGAGAAGTTTTACCAAATATCATCAGATGAACCAATTGGTTAATTGTCCTCATCAATATCATTGTTATTATTAGAAAGGACAATAGATCTTGGCTCCTTATATAACACGACCCAATCGGTGGCAACCTTTGGGTCTTTCACATAAAAGCAATGGTCCGTCTATTCTACGAATATGAACTTCTCATCTAGATATATTTCTTTGTCGAGATTGATAAGTGTAAACCTATAATGATCCTTGCGTCATTTGGTAGGACTCCATCGAACCTTAAACATGATGTAACTGCACTGAGTTTATTTACCATATCCGTAAATTATCTTTATAATATCTTCTAAATGGCCATAATATAATATATCAGCTTCAACTGGGTTCTGAGCTCTTCTGCTAGAAAAACATTCCTAAGCAAAACAACCGATGACCCCATTATTCTGTGTTACCCTCTTATCATCGGTCGCCACTGTTTTAAACTTATACTCATTAATGATGTGTTCATTGTATCGTCTCACTTCAAAGTAAGGACGTTGTGTGCAAACTAAAATTTCTTTAGATATTAAGGTACCATCGAGAAGGTATTTATCAGCGTAAACCCAACATCAATTGAGATTGAGAATAATTTACTTCAAGTTTGCCAAAAAATTGAAAATTAAAAAATGTATTATTAATGTTACGCTACTTACATCAGTTCTGAACTAATCGGGGAAATCTTTGATAAGTTTTTTCTGAATATCATGTGTTGCATTACTGGCTGATATTTCAGTCTTAAGCTTCTCCACATGTCACCTATTTATACAACAAACGAGATTGTATTGGTAAATTAAAAGTAAATGACTCACAGTTGTTCCTATTCTTAAATTATTATATATTACCTTCTATAATCACTAAAAAAAATTAGGATTATTCAATACATATGCATGAACCTGCTCTAAGTCAGATCTTGCATATTTGGCGAGCTTCTTCTCCTTAGTTGGGGTCTGATCAGCTGTTACACGATTGCGCATGTAACGTGATGCAAATACATGACATTTGTTGGTCATGTAACCTTCAGCCATAGAACCCTCCAGATGTGCTCAGTTGCGAACTAGGCGCTTCATAAACCCCAAATATCTACAATAGGAAAAACTTTATCAACTCAAATATCTAAAGTAAGAAAAACTTTGGCTAGGACAAATTAAACATGTATACATTGCATATAAAATTAACGGACTGGGTAAAGTCCATAACCTCTCAATTGGGTACATCCAACGATACGATACAGGACATGCAATTATAGCCTCTCTTGCTAGATGTTGAGTAACATGGACCATGACCGTGAAAGAGGAAGGAGGAAATATTACTTCCAGATTGCATAAAATTAATGACACTTCTGCTTCAAGTTCTTTTAATTCATGTACATCTATAACTTTAGAGCATAATTTTATGAAGAATCCGTAGCACTCTATAATAATTTTTTATGCTTCTTTCTCCATATTATTACACAATGCAACTAGGAGCAATTGATAAAGAAGAATGTGATCGTCATGAGTCTTCAAGCCTAAGAGTTTCCTCTCTTGCACTTGAACATTATTTGATATATTAGCAAAATACTCATCCGGTGACTTTGCTGATTTGAGGACCTCACAAAATCTCTTTCATCTAGTCTATCGACATCGTAACATGAGAGGAAAGATTATGTTTTTTCTTAAGTCAAACATCCAGTGCTTGCAAATATTCCCGGATATTTAGTGCAGCCAAGTCTTGACGAGCCCTTCGGTCGTTCTTTGACTTATTAGGATCTTGGTGGATAGTTGAGACTATGTTGTCATAAATATTTTTCTCAATATGTATGACATCCAAGTTATGTCTGATTTTAAGCTTCTGTCAATATGGTAGCTGGAATAAGATACTAAATTTACTCCATCCTTTAGGTAATTTATCGACTCCATTGTCAACAATACCCGCTAGATTGCTCTCTTCCTCTTCAGTGTCTTTTTCTTTTTGCCCGAGTCTCTAACTTTGAGTGAGTCGTCCTTATAATATCGGTTCTTTCCAAATCTTATTTTTTGTAAGATCCTCAAGTAACTTTACAATATCAGTTCCAGTCAATTGACGTGGTTTATTCCTAGTCTCAAAGGTGACATCAAACTTATTGGTCAATTTTCTGTATTTGATGGCCGAAGGGCAACCATACTTCCTGCCTGTAACCAATAACAACACTTTTGGCTATATGGTAAGTGAAGGCGTTCAAATTCTGGATCACATACTAGATAAGCAAACTTATGGGCAAGCAAACTTATCTTTTGTAGACCAACCGGATAGAGTAGCATAAGCTAAAAAAGCATTAATTGTCCACATTAGAATAGCGTGAAGTCTAAATGACTCTTTAGCATGGGCATCATAGATCGACATACCCTCCGACCATAACTGTTTTAGCCTATCAATTAGGGGCTCTAAATAGACATAAATATCATTATCTGGTGCATGCTTACCAGGTATCAGCAATGAGTTTATCATATAAGGTTGTTTGATACAAAGCAAGGGCTGTAAATTATATGGCATTAAGACAACTGACCATGTAGACCAACCTAAACTCATAACCCCGAACGGATTGAACATGTCGCTAGATAGCCCAAGTCTGACATTTCTGCATTAATGAGTGAAATTGGAAAAGTTTTATTAATATGCTTCCAAGCCTTTGCATCAGCAGGATGTCTCAGTCTACTATCTTCTATATGACATTCTTTGTGCTGCCACATGTTCTTAGCAGAGTCTTTGTTCATATACAGCCATTGTAATCTAGAAACTAATAAAAAAATGACAAAGCACCTTAGCTAGAATCTTACTCTACATCTCCATTGACTCTGTTGTCCGCCTTGTTGAAGAGCAGGTGTGTTGTTTCCATCGAGATACTCCACATGTTGGACATTGCTAAAGGTCTTTGTTATCCTTGTAGTAAAGACTACAATCATTGGGATGCACATCAATCTTATTGTAATCGAGATCCAAATTAGAAACTATTTGCTTCACCGCATAAGTTATTTTAGGAATGCTGTGCTCTCCTCCTGGAACTAACTTCCACAACAAATTAAGAAGCATTTTAAAATAAGCATTTGTCATTCTACTAAGGCTCTTAATATGCAAGAGTTCCAACATAAATAAAAATCTAGAGTACTCAATGCAACCCTCATACAGATCATTTTCACTATCCTCTAATAGCTTCATTATCCAATCTAAGTCCTCAGAAATATGAGCATCTTCAAAACCTTCTGGTTCATCAACATCTTTGATCTCAGTTGCGTCTTGGACATCATCTATTCTACCATCTTCACTATCATTGTTAATATCATATTCGGTATTGTCGGGTCCAATATCAGTTTGTAAATTTTCTGTATCATCAATCTAGAAACCATGGGTCATATCGACATGCACATCCAATACTTCATCTTCAATACAACCTTCTTCATGATAGGACCAGTATTTATATTCCTCATAAACCCAGAGTTTGTTAAGTGACTTTGTATTTCCTCTCTATTTTCCAACTTTATATTCTTACACCTACAACAGGAGCAGTACATTGCACCACTACTTAAATTATTTGGGTTAATTTCGGAATACTTCATGAAAGCTTCACATTCATCCTTATGACGTCGATCACGATACTGTTCAATCCTAGGAATATCTATCCATGACTTATCGGGAATTTTCCTCATCCATAGGTCATATATAATTAGAAACTCTAATTAGTAATAGATAATATACAAATAAATTTTAAACTATTCCAAACAATATACATACATACACACATCATCCTTAAACATGATGAATACGTAAAATTCAGTATCTTCTTTGTTAGGGTTAATTTTACAAAATCCTCTTAAACTGTAAAACCCCGAAATTTTATAATGAATTTGTGTGAATAAATAGTAATAAACCTTTCTTCTGTGATGAATAACCATATAAATATAAGATATATATGTTTATCAGTGTTTGGGAACCCAGCAGGTGTTTACAAGTGAGAGAAATCGAGTGGTATATGGCCAGCAGGTGAAATGCCTACAGAAGGCATTTTTGTGCTGAGCGGTCGACCGTGGCGGTCGACCGGTGCGGTCGACCGATCAGCGTACAGAGAGTTTCAGGTCTTGTTTTCTTTGCGGTTCTGTTTCGGGTCTTTTGGGTTTCGGGTCGGGTTGTGAGTGGATATATATGCTACTGTTCACGAGAGAGAGCCTCTGGGAGTTCTGAAATCAAAACCCTAGCCCCCTCTCTCTTCCCTTAAACC